CCATCCAATTCGGATCACCGTGCTTACATGATGCCGTGCGAGAAACACAGACAACAAATTTTTACCTTGACTCTATTTTGTTTGTAAACTTATCAGGCCAAATCATCGATCCCATTAAATTTCACATAGCCCGCAGGACAGTCCGCCAAGCTCGACTCTTGCAGTCACAGCTGGAAGAATTCCTTACGTGGAACTCGGCGGAGGTCCTCTATGGCCTCCTAGGTGGTGCCTCCGTTTCTATCCATCATGTGGAACAGCAAACTACCAGGTGACCCTCCTCCTCTATCACTGGAGCTTATTTATGTTCTGTTGTGCCTGTATATACACGTAGTAAATGATAATAAAAGCTAGTATCAACGTGTGAATGCCACTGCAGGTCAGTATGTTATGTTTATTTCACCGTCGCGTCTAGGCACGACCCCAAAGATGTCGAGGAGAAACTGAACCGAGCAGCTCCACATCTGCGGATGCAGATGGCTAGACGTTTAGAACTAGGGTATATGCCCCCATTCCGCTTCGTATACCATCCAGAGGACGAGCTAATGAGCAAGCATACTCTGCATAGATTGGCAAACGAACCCCGTCCACGGGATGCGAATGCAAGAAGACAAAAGCAGAAGACAATTGCGGCAGTATGGGGGGAAACTATGAAGGGGACCGCCTGAACTATAGCTTGACTGGCTCGCTGATGAACTCTGCGCAACATTTGGCCACATTAAACGGCACTCGTAGGTAATCTCATTTGAGCAGTTTTTCAATTATTCGTGCTGACAAGCAACGTTTAGTCCTTCAAAACATTTTAACCGTTTAAGGTTTTAATGTGTTTCATATAAGGAAAGCTTTTGTTGGGGCCAATTTGGAATATCAAGGGCCTACTGACGGCTGCAGCTTATGTACTATGCTGAAACGTCTGTCAAAAATGTTATTCTGTGTTGGGACCCACATGTGCGCGCACTTGCTCGACACATGTTGGCATTAGCTAGGATAGGATGTATTGCCCAATCCCTTCACCTCAGAATTATTGCTGAATGCTGAACACGAACTGATATAGCTACGGCTTTTTCTACGGTATGCATTCCTCCTTACCGTCCCCGATGGATGAAGCCCTCTCGAAACGGTCGTGAGTAATCACGAACCAACACCCTGATTGTGGCATTAGCAAGTCTTAATCATCACGCCAGTCCAGAATTATCTTACCATTTTCCAAGCTCTGCTAGAATAACGATGGGATCCCCAGGGTGAAGAATAGTGCCTTTCCACTTGCAGTAGCGATCCACAGTTGCAGTTTTTCGTGCATACATTTTTGTATGCTTAAACATCTTTCTGAATGCATCAGGGACCGCTACAGTGGGTACGTATCCTAACTCGCCACCCTTCGTGCGGCAGAATGCCCACGATGTGTTCTGAAATATTTATTAATGTGGTCACATAGGGGCAGGTTCTGAGACAGCATTGACTATCTATCTCACCGTGACAGAAAATAGGAATACTTCGTCCCCACAATTGACGCTGAGAGTCCCTGGCTCATCGCTCTCGTAATTTTGCTCAACAGTAACTAGAATGTCCTGAGATCATCAAGGTTTGCTGCATGCTGCATACGTTTGACATTGTTGGGAACTGACCTCAACTGCCCAATATTCGAATTCGTGCGAAGGATAGCTTCTTTCAAACACGGCGGTTGGCTCTTCGTAAGACTGCACTTCCACATTCGTGGAAATCCAATGTTGCAGCTTTTTTTCTATTGCTGCATCATACGCTGCAGCTGTTACGATGTTGGATCTAGCGACTGGACAACTCTCAACGGTATTGGCATGGGCGATATCAGCAGCATCAGGAAAATTTTGATCTTCTAGTTGATCTACTAGTTGCTCTCCGACTTCATGATCTCCATCCGATGTAGTCGAATTCAGAAACATGTGACTCGTTTCATTGCTCGTCGCACTTGTGGCCTTTCCATCATGTATAGTTTCCGCCAACTGTTGTTCGTCCAGTCTAGATGATGTTACGCCATTGATTGCAACTGATGGCGTATCCCCTGGCTGTTCAAAATGGGGTCCCGATTGATGTGAATCCGAGCATGTACCCTCTTGTGCATTCTCTGTTGAACACTGCCTTTCGTAATCCCGGGTCTCCACAGAATCCTGCAACTTTTCTGTGGGGCACGATTCGCCTTCTTGTGTCAAATTCTTGACACCAGGATTTCCACTACCTCCGGTTGAAGGTGTGTCTGCGACGAGCATATGCTGTTGTTGTTGGGGATCCGACCCGCCATGGCATTGAAAAGCATGCCCCTGATGATGCAAGTTTTAGAAAAAGCAATGCGCCTAGATTCAGATGTAACCCACCTTTGAGTGTGCCAACTCGTTCACTTCAGATTGAGCACTTGATATTATGTAATCCGCCTCCTTCAGGTGCTGCTGCTGCTCTCGAAGAAGACACGAATTGTGCTCCACTGGACTACCCATCATATGTAGAGTAGCAATCCGAGGCGACTTATTGTCTTCATCGTCATCTATGTGCTCTCCTTGAGGAAGCGAACTTGGGCTTTCCCTCTCAGGGGTTCCTTCAGAATCCATCGGTATGGCTGTGCTTCCCGTTACTTCGTCTTGCCTTTGCCCATATTCAAGTATTTCGTCTCCCTCTTGGTGCCCATAGGTTACTCCAAAAACCTCCATAGCCGCTTCAAGGAGGTATTCTGGCTGAACCGTTCTTGAATTTCTCACTTCCGAACGAAACAGCATTCTTAGAGCTGAGAACGTCCGGAGGTCTACAATCCTGTTGTAGAATTTGGCCCATAAGCTACCGGATAGATTTCTTTGTTGCAGTTTAGCCCTCCTTACCAGGAGCCAATCACAAACAATCCAGAGTTTTCTCCAAGCTCAAACCCGTCGGTCATCTCGAAGACATCGTACACCCTCGCGTCAGACGGGGCGAGGGAAACAATCCATCGAAATGCCTTCTAGGAGATTCCATATGTGTTTTGAATGGTCTCAGATGTACTCAGAGCAAACATGCACTTACGTGTTTTCGAACAGTGACATATCCGTAAGGACCCAATCCACCATCACTATAGACATTGACTGTGAAGAACATTATAAACGGGCGAGACTGCACTTTCTTTACCTTTCGATACGCACAGCTGGAACATTCCTGACGAGAAGCAAAGAAGGTATCATGTGCTGATCTCTCAAACAAACTGCTTTCTCAAAAGCTTCGCCTGCACCGCGCAAATCAACTGCGAGCCTGACGGAAAAGAGTTGCAAACTTTGGGATATATGTTGAAGACGTAACCTGTGACTCACTGAATTCCAGTGAAAACGAGGGCTAGCGTTTCCTTGGCGAAATAAATATCTTTTACACTCTCCACATGGGGTCTAAAAGAAAAGTTCAATGCTTGCAACAGTGTGGCCATCACCCATTCGCACTTACGCATGTAACAAGGGAGATGAAACTTGAACAACAGAGCGGAATCCATCGGTCTGTGCAGCAACGGACGCCAAACCGGAAACACTGTCTGCAAGACTCAGTGCAGGCAGATTGAAGTATGCCCAAAGGCATTGAAGTCTAAGTATTGAAGGTGACTCCGAGTTGAGTTCCCTCCACACATCGGTGGTTCCATCTCCACTTGCCACGTGAGGCGATTCTTGGGTGTTCCCCCAGAACGCTGGAAGCACTGGTCTAGCAGATGCTGGTTGCATCACGTGGGAGTTCTCATATTCTTCAGGAAGAAGGCTCGAAATGGTGTCGTATGAGCCATTCCTGACTGTTTCCTCTTCTCCACCATGTCCAGTATTGCCCAGTGGGCATGGGAGTTGTTCACTACTGACCTCCATGGAAGCCACGTTGTGTAATCAACACTGTTGTTACCACTTGTATTTTTTTGTGATTGTGGTTGAAGACGTGAGGCAAACTCAAATTGGAAAAAACAGAACTTAACAGAAGTGAATCTCGTGATCTTATCAAGAGATGCTACTTGTACGTACACCGTGTTGTTCAGTCTTTGACGTCCAAATCGCTCTTCACTTATATTCATTCTGGCAAGTGGCAGCGTGCACGTTCTCTACTTACTACGTGCCTATTGAATGCCAGATAATTCAAGTTATTTAGGCATAATCTACAAAACAGAGAATATATTTTGAGATCGCCCTCCCCCCCCAATAAATACTACATAAGACTCCTGCAAGCAGAATGTAGATAGCAGTGCCTCTGAGCGTTCCTTTCATATCCTGGTTGGTAGCGACAAAACCAACCAGTGAAAGTACGAACTGATGTCCACTTATTTCAGATTTGTAGTGAGTTTTGCCAGCCTCTGCTATGTCTCTGAGTTCTTGATTGCTAGAAGGTATTGCGATTTGTAGGCTAGTCAAACTAAGCGACTCAACCACTTGGCCTCGCGCCTGGCATCCAAGCAAGTGCTGTATGGAAAGGCATTCAATTCTCACAAGGCCCTTTGCAAACGTCAAGCCCATATGGGGAATTCCCACTACGGAATCATGCTCCATAGCGCTCCAGACAATCCGCGTCTCGACTTTGTTCAAAGTTGTATGACACGTATAGGATGGATCACATGGCCTGCATGCAGTTGGAATATGTGTTTCGGCACGCGTGCAAGTTGACTGATAAGTGAAAAGTACTTAGGTAACAATTGTCTATAGTGTTTGTTCGTGGGTGGCTTTGCAGCCGGAATGTTATGATGGAGTGTTGAAACAAAGCGTAGATCCTCTTACCCTAATTAGCGCCGGGCCATTGTACCGCTATCCCGTGGAAAGCTGTAGGGTAGGAGGTGTGTAAGATGCTTTGGAGAGTGGTTATTTCAAATATTTCAACTATATTGCTGCTCGACACGACAGTCGGATGAGATTTAGTTCTTCAGCTACACTGAATGTCCCCATTTTCTGCCAACTGAGGTTGGTAAAATGTTTTAACTGCCCCATCGGATGTATATTTTCCATTAATTCCGATGGTAGATAAGTCTGTTTCAGGTCCTTTTCGCCGAAGCGTATTCGATCTACTTCTCTGTGAAGAATGTGTCTGTGGCGAAGTTCTCGCACAAGGGAAAGTGAGGAATTCATGGTTAGGATGAAATAATGGAGATCACAAGCATAGATGGGCTGATAACGTGTGGTTAGAAGTATGGACGGAATAAAGAGTCGATAGACTGATGGATTTAAGCATTGATGAGGGAAAGTTGTAGTTGGATGCATGAAAAGTGAGGTTGGGGTTGAAGGGTGATGGTTGTTGTGGACTCGAATGGTGTTGTATTGAAGTGCACTCTCGCACTAAAGAAAAAGGGTGTGAAAAGAGGAAATGAGAAGAAAACTGTGTTTGTATGTCTATAAGAATGTAAATATAAAGAAGATAGGTTTAGATTTGAGGATTGGTGGGTCATTGTGTGTTAGTGGTGGTGAGAGATACGTGTGCTACCTGGCCGGGCATGCAGCCGACTTGTGTGTCGTCGCCTCGGCTGGTGCTAGGTGTCGACGTCAGTAGGGAAGATGGGTGGACAGTGTGTGTATATTGTGCGGATTGGGGAATGATTGAAAGGGCATTATAACTAACATGTTCATCGCATAAAGTTGTATTGTATATTATTGGCAGTTTTACAGGTGAAGACTCTCTGAATATGTTGCGCTGTGCCCCTCCTGAGTGCTGTTGCTCATCATCATTGGGCAAAAGTAGTAGTAGTCGTCTAGCTGCGACGACTGCAACAGCAACAACGACAACAACAATGACAACGCCTTTGTAAGGAGTTTTTTCCTATGTTTTTTCTTTTTTTTCTTTTACAAATATAATGAATATGGTTTTTTATTTTTTTTAATGATAATTTCAATGCATTTTGCTGCAGCAGCAGCACTGTTTGCTGCTCGTGCAGCAGCGGTCGCCGCGGTCGCCTAGCTGCCGACAACTCCTGCTGGGCGCAGCAGCAGCAGAAGCGTTCCTCTACGGTGGTAGTATATAGTATATGCTGCTGCTGCTGCTGCTGCCGCTGCTGCTGTTGCTGCTGTTGCTGCTGTTGCTGTTGCTTTATATCTTTAGGAATATATTATTAAAAGGAAAAAGAAAGAAATTGTATTATGATTATATTATGCACCTGTGTGTCTGTAGCTGCTGTTGCTGCTTCCTCACACAAGTGCAGCTGCTTTCCTTCAAGTTGAATGGATGGCGGGAAGAAATAAAGGAGAGGCATTGCCTCTCTTTTTTTTTTAATTTTTTTTTCTTTTTTCTTTTAATGATAATAATAACAACAACAATATCTTTTTCTTTTATTATATTATAATTATTACTTCTCCTTTTTCTCTCTTTTATATGCTTCAGACACTCCTCCTCCTCCTTATACCCTCAACATCATCATCAAGATAATAATAATAATACACCTAATCATAATACACCTCCTCCTCCTAATACTGTAATATCTTTACAAGAAAAACCTCTTCTTGCTTCTTCTTCTCCTTCTTCTCCTTCTTCTTCTTCTCCTTCTTCTTCTTGTTCTTCTTCTTCTTCTTCTTCTTCTTCCTCCTCTATAATGGAGTTGTCTGCATTAAAGCAGCAACTCATACATGAACTTAATCAGGGACATCTATTCCCTCCTAATGCATCTCCTCAAGGTATAATAATATATTATATATAAATAAATATATATGCATATATTTCTTTATATATTTATATGTGTGTGTATATATATATATATGTATATGTGTGTATATATATGTAATATATATTATGTATATATGTATATATATGTATTTATATGTATATGTATATGTGTCTATGTCTTATGTTATGTTGGTGTTGCTGTTCCTTTTAGTTAATTCATTATGTTGCTGTGTTGCTATTTAACGCTGTTTCTGCTGTCGTCTCTTTTTCTTTGCTGCTGTTGCTGCTGCTGCTGCTGCTGCTGCTGTTGCTGCTGCTGCTGTATATGTATGAAGAAAAAGATGGATGTAGATGTAATGTATTGTTTTCTTTGTCTTTTTATTATCCACAAAGAAGACATTAATAATTCATAAACAACTAAATAAATAAATAAATAAATAAATAAATAAATAAATAAATAAATAAAAAAATAAATAAATAGAATAAATGTGTATGTAATAAATGTGTATAGATGAGGATCGTTTATTACGTCAATTGGCAGCAGCAGATGCGTCATATCCTGGAGGTTTACGTGTATACATAAAGAAGACAAGAGAATTATTAGCAGCAGCAAGAGGAGGAATAAATCCATTTAATGGTTATAAAGTATGTATACCTGACGGAGAAAGAATAGATCCTTTTTCTGGTGTATTTATGTCCTATGAGGAAGAAGGGATAAAGGAATTATCCTCATGTATATTTGTATTAGTTGCTGGAGGATTAGGGGAAAGATTAGGATATAAAGGTATTAAATTATCTTTATCTATTCATAGTTGTATTGATTATAATAATTATATACAATATTATTGTGAATTTATATACAATTTTATTTTATATATAAAAAAAAAAAAAAAAAAAAAAAAAAAA